AAAAATAACCAATCTCACAGTTTGAGGCTTTTTACCCGTGAATCTTTACTTTGCGACTAAACTATTCACAGCAGTGCCAACTTTCTTGGGTCACTGAATGTGGGTGCCAGCGCCCTACAAGCAAACCAAAAATCAAATCAATGCGACCACTGACATTACAGCTGGGTCATGTTATAGAGAGGTACATTGAAATTCAAAGGTCAGCACAAATGGTCAAAATCCGACATTTTCTCACCTTCCTGCCCGTTCACAGCCCAGAAAATGACAATGACTAGCCTCATCTCGTTGTGCAGCTGGACATAGACAAGTGCACCAAGAAAAAGAGCCACATTTCTCTAAAGAACTTGCCCAGCGCTGCCGAAAGCTGAAAAATAACCAATCTCACAGTTTGGGGCTTTTTACCCGTGAATCTTCACTTTGCGACTAAACTATTCACAGCAGTGCCAACTTTTTTGGGTCACTGAATGTGGGTGCCAGCGCCCTACAACCAAACCAAAAATCAAATCAATGCGACCACTAACATTACAGCTGGGTCATGTTATAGAGAGGTACATTGAAATTCAAAGGTCAGCACAAATGGTCAAAATCCGACATTTTCTCACCTTCCTGCCCGTTCACAGCCCAGAAAATGACAATGACTAGCCTCATCTCGTTGTGCAGCTGGACATAGACAAGTGCACCAAGAAAAAGAGCCACATTTCTCTAAAGAATTTGCCCAGGGCTGCTGAAAGCTGAAAAATAACCAATCTCACAGTTTGGGGCTTTTTACCCGTGAATCTTCACTTTGCGACTAAACTATTCACAGCAGTGCCAAATTTTTTGGGTCACTGAATGTGGGTGCCAGCGCTCTACAAGCAAACCAAAAATCAAATCAATACGGGTACTGACATTACAGCTGGGTCATGTTATAGAGAGGTACATTGAAATTCAAAGGTCAGCACAAATGGTCAAAATCCGACATTTTCTCACCTTCCTGCCCGTTCACAGCTCAGAAAATGACAATGACCAGCCTCATCTCGTTGTGCAGCTGGACATAGACAAGTGCACCAAGAAAAGAAGCCACATTTCTCTAAAGAACTTGCCCAGGGCTGCTCAAAGCTGAAAAATAACCAATCTCACAGTTTGGGGCTTTTTACCCGTGAATCTTCACTTTGGGACTAAACTATTCACAGCAGTGCCACATTTTTGGGGTCACTGAATGTGGGTGCCAACGCCCTACAAGCAAACCAAAAATCAAATCAATGCGACCACTGACATTACAGCTGGGTCATGTTATAGAGAGGTACATTGAAATTCAAAGGGCAGCGCAATTGGTCAAAATCCGACATTTTCTCACCTTCCTGCCCGTTCACAGCTCAGAAAATGACAACGACCAGCCTCATCTCGTTGTGCAGCTGGACATAGACAAGTGCACCAAGAAAAAGAGCCACATTTCTCTAAAGAATTTGCCCAGGGCTGCTGAAAGCTGAAAAATAACCAATCTCACAGTTTGGGGCTTTTTACCCGTGAATCTTCACTTTGCGACTAAACTATTCACAGCAGTGCCACATTTTCTGCGTCACTGAATGTGGGTGCCAGCGCCCTACAAGCAAACCAAAAATCAAATCAATGCGACCACTGACATTACAGCTAGGTCATGTTATACAGAAGTACATTGAAATTCAAAGGTCAGCACAAATGGTCAAAATCCGACATTTTCTCACCTTCCTGCCCATTCACAGCCCAGAAAATGACAATGACCAGCGTCATCTCGTTGTGCAGCTGGACATAGACAAGTGCACCAAGAAAAAGAGCCACATTTCTATAAAGAACTTGCCCAGGGCTGCTGAAAGCTGAAAATAACCAATCTCACAGTTTGGGGCTTTTTACCCGTGAATCTTCACTTTGCGACTAAACTATTCACAGCAGTGAAAATTTTTTTGGGTCACTGAATGTAGATGCCAGCGCCCTACAAGCAAACCAAAAATCAAATCAATGCGACCACTGACATTACAGCTGGGTCATGTTATAGAGAGGTACATTGAAATTCAAAGGTCAGCACAAATGGTCAAAATCCGACATTTTCTCACCTTCCTGCCCATTCACAGCTCAGAAAATAACAATGACCAGCCTCATCTCGTTGTGCAGCTGGACATAGACAAGTGCACCAAGAAAAAGAGCCACATTTCTCTAAAGAACTTGCCCAGCGCTGCTGAAAGCTGAAAAATAACCAATCTCACAGTTTGAGGCTTTTTACCCGTGAATCTTTACTTTGCGACTAAACTATTCACAGTAGTGCCAACTTTTTTGGGTCACTGAATGTGGGTGCCAGCGCCCTACAAGCAAACCAAAAATCAAATCAATGCGACCACTGACATTACAGCTGGGTCATGTTATAGAGAGGTACATTGAAATTCAAAGGTCAGCACAAATGGTCAAAATCCGACATTTTCTCACCTTCCTGCCCGTTCACAGCCCAGAAAATGACAATGACTAGCCTCATCTCGTTGTGCAGCTGGACATAGACAAGTGCACCAAGAAAAAGAGCCACATTTCTCTAAAGAACTTGCCCAGCGCTGCCGAAAGCTGAAAAATAACCAATCTCACAGTTTGGGGCTTTTTACCCGTGAATCTTCACTTTGCGACTAAACTATTCACAGCAGTGCCAACTTTTTTGGGTCACTGAATGTGGGTGCCAGCGCCCTACAAGCAAACCAAAAATCAAATCAATGCGACCACTAACATTACAGCTGGGTCATGTTATAGAGAGGTACATTGAAATTCAAAGGTCAGCACAAATGGTCAAAATCCGACATTTTCTCACCTTCCTGCCCATTCACAGCCCAGAAAATGACAATGACTAGCCTCATCTCGTTGTGCAGCTGGACATAGACAAGTGCACCAAGAAAAAGAGCCACATTTCTCTAAAGAATTTGCCCAGGGCTGCTGAAAGCTGAAAAATAACCAATCTCACAGTTTGGGGCTTTTTACCCGTGAATCTTCACTTTGCGACTAAACTATTCACAGCAGTGCCAAATTTTTTGGGTCACTGAATGTGGTTGCCAGCGCTCTACAAGCAAACCAAAAATCAAATCAATACGGGTACTGACATTACAGCTGGGTCATGTTATAGAGAGGTACATTGAAATTCAAAGGTCAGCACAAATGGTCAAAATCCGACATTTTCTCACCTTCCTGCCCGTTCACAGCTCAGAAAATGACAATGACCAGCCTCATCTCGTTGTGCAGCTGGACATAGACAAGTGCACCAAGAAAAGAAGCCACATTTCTCTAAAGAACTTGCCCAGGGCTGCTCAAAGCTGAAAAATAACCAATCTCACAGTTTGGGGCTTTTTACCCGTGAATCTTCACTTTGCGACTAAACTATTCACAGCAGTGCCACATTTTTGGGGTCACTGAATGTGGGTGCCAGCGCCCTACAAGCAAACCAAAAATCAAATCAATGCGACCACTGACATTACAGCTGGGTCATGTTATAGAGAGGTACATTGAAATTCAAAGGGCAGCGCAATTGGTCAAAATCCGACATTTTCTCACCTTCCTGCCCGTTCACAGCTCAGAAAATGACAACGACCAGCCTCATCTCGTTGTGCAGCTGGACATAGACAAGTGCACCAAGAAAAAGAGCCACATTTCTCTAAAGAATTTGCCCAGGGCTGCTGAAAGCTGAAAAATAACCAATCTCACAGTTTGGGGCTTTTTACCCGTGAATCTTCACTTTGCGACTAAACTATTCACAGCAGTGCCACATTTTCTGCGTCACTGAATGTGGGTGCCAGCGCCCTACAAGCAAACCAAAAATCAAATCAATGCGACCACTGACATTACAGCTAGGTCATGTTATACAGAAGTACATTGAAATTCAAAGGTCAGCACAAATGGTCAAAATCCGACATTTTCTCACCTTCCTGCCCATTCACAGCCCAGAAAATGACAATGACCAGCGTCATCTCGTTGTGCAGCTGGACATAGACAAGTGCACCAAGAAAAAGAGCCACATTTCTATAAAGAACTTGCCCAGGGCTGCTGAAAGCTGAAAATAACCAATCTCACAGTTTGGGGCTTTTTACCCGTGAATCTTCACTTTGCTACTAAACTATTCACAGCAGTGCCAAATTTTTTGGGTCACTGAATGCGGGTGCCAGCGCCCTACAAGCAAACCAAAAATCAAAACAATGCGACCACTGACATTACAGCTGGGTCATGTTATAGAGAGGTACATTGAAATTCAAAGGTCAGCACAAATGGTCAAAATCCGACATTTTCTCACCTTCCTGCCCGTTCACAGCTCAGAAAATGACAATGACCAGCCTCATCTCGTTGTGCAGCTGGACATAGACAAGTGCACCAAGAAAAAGAGCCACGTTTCTCTAAAGAACTTGCCCAGGGCTGCTGAAAGCTGAAAAATAACCAATCTCACAGTTTGGGGCTTTTTACCCGTGAATCTTCACTTTGCGACTAAATTATTCACAGCAGTGCCACATTTTCTGGGTCACTGAATGTGGGTGCCAGCGCCCTACAAGCAAACCAAAAATCAAATCAATGCGACCACTGACATTACAGCTGGGTCATGTTACAGAGAGGTACATTGAAATTCAAAGGTCAGCACAAATGGTCAAAATCCGACATTTTCTCACCTCCCTGCCCGTTTACAGCCCAGAAAATGACAATGACCAGCCTCATCTCGTTGTGCAGCTGGACATAGACAAGTGCACCAAGAAAAAGAGCCACATTTCTCTAAAGAACTTGCCCAGGGCTGCTGAAAGCTGAAAATAACCAATCTCACAGTTTGGGGCTTTTTACCCGTGAATCTTCACTTTGCGACTAAACTATTCACAGCAGTGAAAATTTTTTTGGGTCACTGAATGTAGATGCCAGCGCCCTACAAGCAAACCAAAAATCAAATCAATGCGACCACTGACATTACAGCTGGGTCATGTTATAGAGAGGTACATTGAAATTCAAAGGTCAGCACAAATGGTCAAAATCCGACATTTTCTCACCTTCCTGCCCATTCACAGCTCAGAAAATGACAATGACCAGCCTCATCTCGTTGTGCAGCTGGACATAGACAAGTGCACCAAGAAAAAGAGCCACATTTCTCTAAAGAACTTGCCCAGCGCTGCTGAAAGCTGAAAAATAACCAATCTCACAGTTTGGGGCTTTTTACCCGTGAATCTTTACTTTGCGACTAAACTATTCACAGCAGTGCCAACTTTTTTGGGTCACTGAATGTGGGTGCCAGCGCCCTACAAGCAAACCAAAAATCAAATCAATGCGACCACTGACATTACAGCTGGGTCATGTTATAGAGAGGTACATTGAAATTCAAAGGTCAGCACAAATGGTCAAAATCCGACATTTTCTCACCTTCCTGCCCGTTCACAGCCCAGAAAATGACAATGACTAGCCTCATCTCGTTGTGCAGCTGGACATAGACAAGTGCACCAAGAAAAAGAGCCACATTTCTCTAAAGAACTTGCCCAGGGCTGCTGAAAGCTGAAAAATAACCAATCTCACAGTTTGGGGCTTTTTACCCGTGAATCTTCACTTTGCGACTAAACTATTCACAGCAGTGCCACATTTTTGGGGTCATTGAATGTGGGTGCCAGCGCCCTACAAGCAAACCAAAAATCAAATCAATGCGACCACTGACATTACAGCTGGGTCATGTTATAGAGAGGTACATTGAAATTCAAAGGGCAGCGCAATTGGTCAAAATCCGACATTTTCTCACCTTCCTGCCCGTTCACAGCTCAGAAAATGACAACGACCAGCCTCATCTCGTTGTGCAGCTGGACATAGACAAGTGCACCAAGAAAAAGAGCCACATTTCTCTAAAGAATTTGCCCAGGGCTGCTGAAAGCTGAAAAATAACCAATCTCACAGTTTGGGGCGTTTTACCCGTGAATCTTCACTTTGCGACTAAACTATTCACAGCAGTGCCACATTTTCTGCGTCACTGAATGTGGGTGCCAGCGCCCTACAAGCAAACCAAAAATCAAATCAATGCGACCACTGACATTACAGCTGGGTCATGTTATAGAGAAGTACATTGAAATTCAAAGGTCAGCACAAATGGTCAAAATCCGACATTTTCTCACCTTCCTGCCCATTCACAGCCCAGAAAATGACAATGACCAGCGTCATCTCGTTGTGCAGCTGGACATAGACAAGTGCACCAAGAAAAAGAGCCACATTTCTATAAAGAACTTGCCCAGGGCTGCTGAAAGCTGAAAATAACCAATCTCACAGTTTGGGGCTTTTTACCCGTGAATCTTCACTTTGCGACTAAACTATTCACAGCAGTGCCAAATTTTTTGGGTCACTGAATGTGGGTGCCAGCGCCCTACAAGCAAACCAAAAATCAAAACAATGCGACCACTGACATCACAGCTGGGTCATGTTATAGAGAGGTACATTGAAATTCAAAGGTCAGCACAAATGGTCAAAATCCGACATTTTCTCACCTTCCTGCCCGTTCACAGCTCAGAAAATGACAATGACCAGCCTCATCTCGTTGTGCAGCTGGACATAGACAAGTGCACCAAGAAAAAGAGCCACATTTCTCTAAAGAACTTGCCCAGGGCTGCTGAAAGCTGAAAAATAACCAATCTCACAGTTTGGGGCTTTTTACCCGTGAATCTTCACTTTGCGACTAAACTATTCACAGCAGTGCCACATTTTCTGGGTCACTGAATGTGGGTGCCAGCGCCCTACAAGCAAACCAAAAATCAAATCAATGCGACCACTGACATTACAGCTGGGTCATGTTACAGAGAGGTACATTGAAATTCAAAGGTCAGCACAAATGGTCAAAATCCGACATTTTCTCACCTTCCTGCCCGTTCACAGCCCAGAAAATGACAATGACCAGCCTCATCTCGTTGTGCAGCTGGACATAGACAAGTGCACCAAGAAAAAGAGCCACATTTCTCTAAACAACTTGCCCAGGGCTTCTGAAAGCTGAAAATAACCAATCTCACAGTTTGGGGCTTTTTACCCGTGAATCTTCACTTTGCGACTAAACTATTCACAGCAGTGCCAAATTTTTTGGGTCACTGAATGTAGATGCCAGCGCCCTACAAGCAAACCAAAAATCAAATCAATGCGACCACTGACATTACAGCTGGGTCATGTTATAGAGAGGTACATTGAAATTCAAAGGTCAGCACAAATGGTCAAAATCCGACATTTTCTCACCTTCCTGCCCGTTCACAGCCCAGAAAATGACAATGACCATCCTCATCTCGTTGTGCAGCTGGACATAGACAAGTGCACCAAGAAAAAGAGCCACATTTCTATAAAGAACTTGCCCAGGGCTGCTGAAAGCTGAAAATAACCAATCTCACAGTTTGGGGCTTTTTACCCGTGAATCTTCACTTTGCGACTAAACTATTCACAGCAGTGCCACATTTTCTGGGTCGCTGAATGTGGATTCCAGCACCCTACAAGCAAACCAAAAATCAAATCAATGCGACCACTGACATTACAGCTGGGTCATGTTATAGAGAGGTACATTGAAATTCAAAGGTCAGCACAAATGGTCAAAATCCGACATTTTCTCACCTTCCTGCCCGTTCACAGCCCAGAAAATGACAATGACTAGCCTCATCTCGTTGTGCAGCTGGACATAGACAAGTGCACCAAGAAAAAGAGCCACATTTCTATAAAGAACTTGCCCAGGGCTGCTGAAAGCTGAAAATAACCAATCTCACAGTTTGGGGCTTTTTACCCGTGAATCTTCACTTTGCGACTAAACTATTCACAGCAGTGCCACATTTTCTGGGTCGCTGAATGTGGATTCCAGCACCCTACAAGCAAACCAAAAATCAAATCAATGCGACCACTGACATTACAGCTGGGTCATGTTATAGAGAGGTACATTGAAATTCAAAGGTCAGCACAAATGGTCAAAATCCGACATTTTCTCACCTTCCTGCCCGTTCACAGCTCAGAAAATGACAATGACCAGCCTCATCTCGTTGTGCAGCTGGACATAGACAAGTGCACCAAGAAAAAGAGCCACATTTCTCTAAAGAACTTGCCCAGGGCTGCTGAAAGCTGAAAAATAACCAATCTCACAGTTTGGGGCTTTTTACCCGTGAATCTTCACTTTGCGACTAAACTATTCACAGCAGTGCCACATTTTTGGGGTCACTGAATGTGGGTGCCAGCGCCCTACAAGCAAACCAAAAATCAAATCAATGCGACCACTGACATTACAGCTGGGTCATGTTATAGAGAGGTACATTGAAATTCAAAGGTCAGCACAAATGGTCAAAATCCGACATTTTCTCACCTTCCTGCCCGTTCACAGCCCAGAAAATGACAATGACTAGCCTCATCTCGTTGTGCAGCTGGACATAGACAAGTGCACCAAGAAAAAGAGCCACATTTCTCTAAACAATTTGCCCAGGGCTGCTGAAAGCTGAAAAATAACCAATCTCACAGTTTGGGGCTTTTTACCCGTGAATCTTCACTTTGCGACTAAACTATTCACAGCAGTGCCAAATTTTTTGGGTCACTGAATGTGGGTGCCAGCGCCCTACAAGCAAACCAAAAATCAAATCAATGCGACCACTGACATTACAGCTGGGTCATGTTATAGAGAGGTACATTGAAATTCAAAGGGCAGCGCAATTGGTCAAAATCCGACATTTTCTCACCTTCCTGCCCGTTCACAGCTCAGAAAATGACAACGACCAGCCTCATCTCGTTGTGCAGCTGGACATAGACAAGTGCACCAAGAAAAAGAGCCACATTTCTCTAAAGAATTTGCCCAGGGCTGCTGAAAGCTGAAAAATAACCAATCTCACAGTTTGGGGCTTTTTACCCGTGAATCTTCACTTTGCGACTAAACTATTCACAGCAGTGCCACATTTTCTGCGTCACTGAATGTGGGTGCCAGCGCCCTACAAGCAAACCAAAAATCAAATCAATGCGACCACTGACATTACAGCTGGGTCATGTTATAGAGAGGTACATTGAAATTCAAAGGTCAGCACAAATGGTCAAAATCCGACATTTTCTCACCTTCCTGCCCATTCACAGATCAGAAAATGACAACGACCAGCCTCATCTCGTTGTGCAGCTGGACATAGACAAGTGCACCAAGAAAAAGAACCACATTTCTCTAAAGAACTTGCCCAGGGCTGCTGAAAGCTGAAAATAACCAATCTCACAGTTTGGGGCTTTTTACCCGTGAATCTTCACTTTGCGACTAAACTATTCACAGCAGTGCCAAATTTTTTGGGTCACTGAATGTGGGTGCCAGCGCTCTACAAGCAAACCAAAAATCAAATCAATGCGGGTACTCACATTACAGCTGGGTCATGTTATAGAGAGGTACATTGAAATTCAAAGGTCAGCACAAATGGTCAAAATCCGACATTTTCTCACCTTCCTGCCCGTTCACAGCTCAGAAAATGACAATGACCAGCCTCATCTCGTTGTGCAGCTGGACATAGACAAGTGCACCAAGAAAAAGAGCCACATTTCTCTAAAGAACTTGCCCAGGGCTGCTCAAAGCTGAAAATAACCAATCTCACAGTTTGGGGCTTTTTACCCGTGAATCTTCACTTTGCTACTAAACTATTCACAGCAGTGCCAATTTTTTTGGGTCACTGAATGTGGGTGCCAGCGCCCTACAAGCAAACCAAAAATCAAAACAATGCGACCACTGACATTACAGCTGGGTCATGTTATAGAGAGGTACATTGAAATTCAAAGGTCAGCACAAATGGTCAAAATCCGACATTTTCTCACCTTCCTGCCCGTTCACAGCTAAGAAAATGACAATGACCAGCCTCATCTCGTTGTGCAGCTGGACATAGACAAGTGCACCAAGAAAAAGAGCCACGTTTCTCTAAAGAACTTGCCCAGGGCTGCTGAAAGCTGAAAAATAACCAATCTCACAGTTTGGGGCTTTTTACCCGTGAATCTTCACTTTGCGACTAAACTATTCACAGGAGTGCCACATTTTCTGGGTCACTGAATGTGGATGCCAGCGCCCTACAAGCAAACCAAAAATCAAATCAATGCTACCACTGACATTACAGCTGCGTCATGTTATAGAGAGGTACATTGAAATACAAAGGTCAGCACAAATGGTCAAAATCCGACATTTTCTCACCTTCCTGCCCGTTCACAGCTCAGAAAATGACAATGACCAGCCTCATCTCGTTATGCAGCTGGATATGGACAAGTGCACCAAGAAAAAGAGCCACATTTCTCTAAAGAACTTGCCCAGGGCTGCTGAAAGCTGAAAAATAACCAATCTCACAGTTTGGGGCTTTTTACCCGTGAATCTTCACTTTGCGACTAAACTATTCACAGCAGTGCCAAATTTTTGGGGTCACTAAATGTGGGTGCCAGCGCCCTACAAGCAAACCAAAAATCAAATCAATGCGACCACTGACATTACAGCTGGATCATGTTATAGAGAGGTACATTGAAATTCAAAGGTCAGCACAAATGGTCAAAATCCGACATTTTCTCACCTTCCTGCCCGTTCACAGCTCAGAAAATGACAATGACCAGCCTCATCTCGTTGTGCAGCTGGACATAGACAAATACACCAAGAAAAATAGCCATAATTCTCTAAAGAACTTGCCCAGGGCTGCTGAAAGCTGAAAAATAACCAATCTCACAGTTTGGGGCTTTTACCCGTGAATCTTCACTTTGCGACTAAACTATTCACCGCAGTGCCAATTTTGTTGGGTCACTGAATGTGGGTGCCAGCGCCCTACGAGTAAACCAAAAATCAAATCAATGCGACCACTGACTTTACAGCTGGGCCATGTTATAGAGAGGTACATTGAAATTCAAAGGTCAGCACAAAAGGTCAAAATCCGACATTTTCTCACCTTTCTGCCCGTTCACAGCTCAGAAAATGACACTGACCAGCCTCATGTCGTTGTGCAGCTGGACATAGACAAGTGCACCAAAAAAAGAGCCACATTTCTCTCAAGAACTTGCCCAGGGCTGCTGAAAGCTGAAAAATAACCAATCTCACAGTTTGGGGCTTTTAACCCGTGAATCTTCACTTTGCGACTAAACTATTCACAGCAGTGAAACATATTCTGGGTCACTGAATGTGGGTGCCAACGCCCTACAAGCAAACCAAAAATCAAATCAATGCGACCACTGACATTACAGCTGGGTCATGTTATAGAGAGGTACATTGAAATTCAAAGGTCAGCACAAATGGTCAAAATCCGACATTTTCTCACCTTCCTGCCCGTTCACAGCTCAGAAAATGACAATGACCAGCCTCATTTCGTTGTGCAGCTGGACATAGACAAATGCACCAAGAAAAAGAGCCACATTTCTCTAAAGAACTTGCCCAGGGCTGCTGAAAGCTGAAAAATAACCAATCTCACAGTTTGGGGCTTTTCACCCGTGAATCTTCACTTTGCGACTAAACTATTCACAGCAGTGCCACATTTTTTGGGTCACTGAATGTGGGTGCCAGCGCCCTACAAGCAAACCAACAATAAAATCAATGCGACCAATGACATTACAGCTGGGTCATGTTATAGAGAGGTACATTGAAATTCAAAGGTCAGCACAAATGGTCAAAATCCGACATTTTCTCACCTTCCTGCCCGTTCACAGCTCAGAAAATGACAATGACCAGCCTCATCTTGTTGTGCAGCTGGACATAGACAAGTGCACCAAGAAAAAGAGCCACATTTCTCTAAAGAACTTGCCCAGGGCTGCTGAACAGCTGAAAAATAACCAATCTCACAGTTTGGGGCTTTTTACCCGTGAATCTTCACTTTGCGACTAAACTATTCACAGCAGTGCCACATTTTCTGGGTCAATGAATGTGGGTGCCAGCGCTCTACAAGCAAACCAAAAATCAAATCAATGCGACCACTGACATTACAGCTGGGTCATGTTATAGTGAGGTACATTGAAATTCAAAGGTCAGCACAAATGGTCGAAATCCGACATTTTCTCACCTTCCTGCCCGTTCACAGCTCAGAAAATGACAATGACCAGCCTCATCTCGTTGTGCAGCTGGACATAGACAAGTGCACCAAGAAAAGGAGCCACATTTCTCTAAAGAACTTGCCCAGGGCTGCTGAACAGCTGAAAAATAACCAATCTCACAGTTTGGGGCTTTTTACCCGTGAATCTTCACTTTGCGACTAAACTATTCACAGCAGTGCCACATTTTCTGGGTCAATGAATGTGGGTGCCAGCGCCCTACAAGCAAACCAAAAATCAAATCAATGCGACCACTGACATTACAGCTGGGTCATGTTATAGTGAGGTACATTGAAATTCAAAGGTCAGCACAAATGGTCAAAATCCGACATTTTCTCCCCTTTCTGCCCGTTCACAGCTCAGAAAATGACAATGACCAGCCTCATCTCGTTGTGCAGCTGGACATAGACAAATGCACTAAGAAAAAGAGCCATATTTCTCTAAAGAACTTGCCCAGGGCTGCTGAAAGCTGAAAAATAACCAATCTCACAGTTTGGGGCTTTTAACCCGTGAATCTTCCCTTTGCGACTAAACTATTCACAGCAGTGAAACATATTCTGGGTCACTGAATGTGGGTGCCAACGCCCTACAAGCAAACCAAAAATCAAATCAATGCGACCACTGACATTACAGCTGGGTCATGTTATAGAGAGGTACATTGAAATTCAAAGGTCAGCACAAATGGTCAAAATCCGACATTTTCTCACCTTCCTGCCCGTTCACAGCTCAGAAAATGACAATGACCAGCCTCATCTCGTTGTGCAGCTGGACATAGACAAATGCACCAAGAAAAAGAGCCACATTTCTCTAAAGAACTTGCCCAGGGCTGCTGAAAGCTGAAAAATAACCAATCTCACAGTTTGGGGCTTTTTACCCGTGAATCTTCACTTTGCGACTAAACTATTCACAGCAGTGCCACATTTTTTGGGTCACTGAATGTGGGTGCCAGCGCCCTACAAGCAAACCAACAATAAAATCAATGCGACCACTGGCATTACAGCTGGGTCATGTTATAGAGAGGTACATTGAAATTCAAAGGTCAGCACAAATGGTCAAAATCCGACATTTTCTCACCTTCCGTGGGTGCCAGCGCCCTACAAGCAAACCAAAAATCAAATCAATGCGACAACTGACATTACAGCTGGGTCATGTTATAGAGAGGTACATTGAAATTCAAAGGTCAGCACAAATGGTCAAAATCCGACATTTTCTCACCTTCCTGCCCGTTCACAGCTCAGAAAATGACAATGACCAGCCTCATCTTGTTGTGCAGCTGGACATAGACAAGTGCACCAAGAAAAGAAGCCACATTTCTCTAAAGAACTTGCCCAGGGCTGCTGAAAGCTGAAAAATAGCCAATCTCACAGTTTGGGGCTTTTTACCCGTGAATCTTCACTTTGCGACTAAACTATTCACAGGAGTGCCACATTTTCTGGGTCACTGAATGTGGATGCCAGCGCCCTACAAGCAAACCAAAAATCAAATCAATGCTACCACTGACATTACAGCTGGGTCATGTTATGGAGAGGTACATTGAAATTCAAAGGTCAGCACAAATGGTCAAAATCCGACATTTTCTCACCTTCCTGCCCGTTCACAGCTCAGAAAATGACAATGACCAGCCTCATCTCGTTATGCAGCTGGACATAGACAAGTGCACCAAGAAAAAGAGCCACATTTCTCTAAAGAACTTGCCCAGGGCTGCTGAAAGCTGAAAAATAACCAATCTCACAGTTTGGGGCTTTTTACCCGTGAATCTTCACTTTGCGACTAAACTATTCACAGCAGTGCCAAATTTTTGGGGTCACTAAATGTGGGTGCCAGCGCCCTACAAGCAAACCAAAAATCAAATCAATGCGACCACTGACATTACAGCTGGATCATGTTATAGAGAGGTACATTGAAATTCAAAGGTCAGCACAAATGGTCAAAATCCGACATTTTCTCACCTTCCTGCCCGTTCACAGCTCAGAAAATGACAATGACCAGCCTCGTCTCGTTGTGCAGCTGGATATGGACAAGTGCACCAAGAAAAAGAGCCACATTTCTCTAAAGAACTTGCCCAGGGCTGCTGAAAGCTGAAAAATAACCAATCTCACAGTTTGGGGCTTTTTACCCGTGAATCTTCACTTTGCGACTAAACTATTCACAGCAGTGCCAAATTTTTGGGGTCACTAAATATGGGTGCCAGCGCCCTACAAGCAAACCAAAAATCAAATCAATGCGACCACTGACATTACAGCTGGATCATGTTATAGAGAGGTACATTGAAATTCAAAGGTCAGCACAAATGGTCAAAATCCGACATTTTCTCACCTTCCTGCCCGTTCACAGCTCAGAAAATGACAATGACCAGCCTCGTCTCGTTGTGCAGCTGGACATAGACAAGTGAACCAAGAAAAAGAGCCACATTTCTCTGAAAAACTTGCCCAGGGCTGCTGAAAGCTGAAAAATAACCAATCTCACAGTTTGGGGCTTTTTACCCGTGAATCTTCACTTTGCGACTAAACTATTCACAGCAGTGCCACATTTTCTGGGTCACTGAATGTGAATGCCAGCGCCCTACAAGCAAACCAAAAATCAAACCAATGCGACCACTGACATTACAGCTGGGTCATGTTATAGAGAGGTACATTGAAATTCAAAGGTCAGCACAAATGGTCAAAATCCGACATTTTCTCACCTTCCTGCCCGTTCACAGCTCAGAAAATGACAATGACCAGCCTCATCTCGTTGTGCAGCTGGACATAGACAAGTGCACCAAGAAAAAGAGCCACATTTCTCTAAAGAACTTGCCCAGGGCTGCTGAAAGCTGAAAAATAACCAATCTCACAGTTTGGGGCTTTTTACCCGTGAATCTTCACTTTGCGACTAAACTATTCACAGCAGTGCCACATTTTCTGGGTCACTGAATGTGGATGCCAGCGCCCTACAAGCAAACCAAAAATCAAATCAATGCGACCACTGACATTACAGCTGGATCATGTTATAGTGAGGTACATTGAAATTCAAAGGTCAGCACAAATGGTCAAAATCCGACATTTTCTCCCCTTTCTGCCCGTTCACAGCTCAGAAAATGACAATGACCAGCCTCATCTCGTTGTGCAGCTGGACATAGACAAATACACCAAGAAAAATAGCCATATTTCTCTAAAGAACTTGCCCAGGGCTGCTGAAAGCTGAAAAATAACCAATCTCACAGTTTGGGGCTTTTACCCGTGAATCTTCACTTTGCGACTAAACTATTCACCGCAGTGCCAATTTTGTTGGGTCACTGAATGTGGGTGCCAGCGCCCTACGAGTAAACCAAAAATCAAATCAATGCGACCACTGACTTTACAGCTGGGCCATGTTATAGAGAGGTACATTGAAATTCAAAGGTCAGCACAAAAGGTCAAAATCCGACATTTTCTCACCTTTCTGCCCGTTCACAGCTCAGAAAATGACACTGACCAGCCTCATGTCGTTGTGCAGCTGGACATAGACAAGTGCACCAAAAAAAGAGCCACATTTCTCTCAAGAACTTGCCCAGGGCTGCTGAAAGCTGAAAAATAACCAATCTCACAGTTTGGGGCTTTTAACCCGTGAATCTTCACTTTGCGACTAAACTATTCACAGCAGTGAAACATATTCTGGGTCACTGAATGTGGGTGCCAACGCCCTACAAGCAAACCAAAAATCAAATCAATGCGACCACTGACATTACAGCTGGGTCATGTTATAGAGAGGTACATTGAAATTCAAAGGTCAGCACAAATGGTCAAAATCCGACATTTTCTCACCTTCCTGCCCGTTCACAGCTCAGAAAATGACAATGACCAGCCTCATTTCGTTGTGCAGCTGGACATAGACAAATGCACCAAGAAAAAGAGCCACATTTCTCTAAAGAACTTGCCCAGGGCTGCTGAAAGCTGAAAAATAACCAATCTCACAGTTTGGGGCTTTTCACCCGTGAATCTTCACTTTGCGACTAAACTATTCACAGCAGTGCCACATTTTTTGGGTCACTGAATGTGGGTGCCAGCGCCCTACAAGCAAACCAACAATAAAATCAATGCGACCAATGACATTACAGCTGGGTCATGTTATAGAGAGGTACATTGAAATTCAAAGGTCAGCACAAATGGTCAAAATCCGACATTTTCTCACCTTCCTGCCCGTTCACAGCTCAGAAAATGACAATGACCAGCCTCATCTTGTTGTGCAGCTGGACATAGACAAGTGCACCAAGAAAAAGAGCCACATTTCTCTAAAGAACTTGCCCAGGGCTGCTGAACAGCTGAAAAATAACCAATCTCACAGTTTGGGGCTTTTTACCCGTGAATCTTCACTTTGCGACTAAACTATTCACAGCAGTGCCACATTTTCTGGGTCAATGAATGTGGGTGCCAGCGCTCTACAAGCAAACCAAAAATCAAATCAATGCGACCACTGACATTACAGCTGGGTCATGTTATAGTGAGGTACATTGAAATTCAAAGGTCAGCACAAATGGTCAAAATCCGACATTTTCTCACCTTCCTGCCCGTTCACAGCTCAGAAAATGACAATGACCAGCCTCATCTCGTTGTGCAGCTGGACATAGACAAGTGCACCAAGAAAAGGAGCCACATTTCTCTAAAGAACTTGCCCAGGGCTGCTGAACAGCTGAAAAATAACCAATCTCACAGTTTGGGGCTTTTTACCCGTGAATCTTCACTTTGCGACTAAACTATTCACAGCAGTGCCACATTTTCTGGGTCAATGAATGTGGGTGCCAGCGCCCTACAAGCAAACCAAAAATCAAATCAATGCGACCACTGACAGTACAGCTGGGTCATGTTATAGTGAGGTACATTGAAATTCAAAGGTCAGCACAAATGGTCAAAATCCGACATTTTCTCCCCTTTCTGCCCGTTCACAGCTCAGAAAATGACAATGACCAGCCTCATCTCGTTGTGCAGCTGGACATAGACAAATGCACTAAGAAATAGAGCCATATTTCTCTAAAGAACTTGCCCAGGGCTGCTGAAAGCTGAAAAATAACCAATCTCACAGTTTGGGGCTTTTAACCCGTGAATCTTCCCTTTGCGACTAAACTATTCACAGCAGTGAAACATATTCTGGGTCACTGAATGTGGGTGCCAACGCCCTACAAGCAAACCAAAAATCAAATCAATGCGACCACTGACATTACAGCTGGGTCATGTTATAGAGAGGTACATTGAAATTCAAAGGTCAGCACAAATGGTCAAAATCCGACATTTTCTCACCTTCCTGCCCGTTCACAGCTCAGAAAATGACAATGACCAGCCTCATCTCGTTGTGCAGCTGGACATAGACAAATGCACCAAGAAAAAGAGCCACATTTCTCTAAAGAACTTGCCCAGGGCTGCTGAAAGCTGAAAAATAACCAATCTCACAGTTTGGGGCTTTTTACCCGTGAATCTTCACTTTGCGACTAAACTATTCACAGCAGTGCCACATTTTTTGGGTCACTGAATGTGGGTGCCAGCGCCCTACAAGCAAACCAACAATAAAATCAATGCGACCACTGACATTACAGCTGGGTCATGTTATAGAGAGGTACATTGAAATTCAAAGGTCAGCACAAATGGTCAAAATCCGACATTTTCTCACCTTCCGTGGGTGCCAGCGCCCTACAAGCAAACCAAAAATCAAATCAATGCGACAACTGACATTACAGCTGGGTCATGTTATAGAGAGGTACATTGAAATTCAAAGGTCAGCACAAATGGTCAAAATCCGACATTTTCTCACCTTCCTGCCCGTTCACAGCTCAGAAAATGACAATGACCAGCCTCATCTTGTTGTGCAGCTGGACATAGACAAGTGCACCAAGAAAAGAAGCCACATTTCTCTAAAGAACTTGCCCAGGGCTGCTGAAAGCTGAAAAATAGCCAATCTCACAGTTTGGGGCTTTTTACCCGTGAATCTTCACTTTGCGACTAAACTATTCACAGGAGTGCCACATTTTCTGGGTCACTGAATGTGGATGCCAGCGCCCTACAAGCAAACCAAAAATCAAATCAATGCTACCACTGACATTACAGCTGGGTCATGTTATGGAGAGGTACATTGAAATTCAAAGGTCAGCACAAATGGTCAAAATCCGACATTTTCTCACCTTCCTGCCCGTTCACAGCTCAGAAAATGACAATGACCAGCCTCATCTCGTTATGCAGCTGGACATAGACAAGTGCACCAAGAAAAAGAGCCACATTTCTCTAAAGAACTTGCCCAGGGCTGCTGAAAGCTGAAAAATAACCAATCTC